TTCAATCATTATCACATTATTATTGTGAAAGAATTATGTGCTATAATTCACTACCTAGGACAAGTGATATATCCAACTATAGAACAGAGTCACTTGAATCGGAAATAACAGGATGGATCACTAGAAGAAAGTATTTTAAAAATACTGTACACTGCTTCCTTATTTGCACAGCATATGTAAACAAACAGCTTACTCAACAGAGTTTTAAATATTAAAGAGATTATTCTTTTTACCTTTTGCATAACTCCCTAGGTTTATTCTTTCGCATTCTCATAATGCAGCTATCACAGCTGTTGGTGGCTCGTTAGGGACATATATATATGCCAACTCAAAGGCTAGCCTTCTCCAACCTGACACCTTTCAGATATTTTGGGATTCTAACCTACAAGAATCGCAGTCAGAAAGTCCCAACGCTTCTGCAAGATTCAGGCTAGAAAAGCTATGCCAGCATTAACAGTGGAGCTCTACCAATAAATAAATGGAAGCCTAACAATAATGACGACCGACTCTGATTCCTTGCCCAATAACTGCTATTACATTGGAAAGCTAGGTAGCAGGCTGTATTGTTCAATATTTCCTATTATCAAACGTTGTACTGCATGAACTGTATAAAGATATGACTTTACGCTGCAGTGGTGGATAGCCTTTGACTTGAGGGCCTCACACCGTCTTTTCGTACATGATTGCTATAAACTGACAGAAATTTCAGGTAGGAAACATATGCAAACTGTTGTGCAAGGCCTAAATTAAGGACAACACAATGGAAAACATTTTAAAAAGAAATTGAAGGGAAATCCCAAAATGCTACTCCCTAAACCCAGATCTGGCCCTGTAAATGTCGTGGCTTTCAAAGCCCATCTATCCGATGTTAAGAGTGGCCTTTGGCTCACTAAAGGTTGTCCTCCCTGATACAGTGCTAGACCCAAAAACTGATCTAATATAACACATTACAGCACCCCATTACGTAAAAAACAACAACGCTGGATTATTCTGGTGTCTCTTTTTCAATTTGTAAATGTAGCCCTCTTGTTATTCTGAATCCTTGATTAGCATTCATCCAGATATTATTATGATGGTATAAATTCAACTACGTTGAATTGAATTCATCTTGAAATTTTGTCTTTCCTATTCCATGGCTATGCAGATTAGTAATTTTATATTTTGTACGTAACATTTCAGATTATGAATTAAAACTTTGCATGGTTTGTTGCTTCTACGTTAGGGGCTAATACAAGCATACTACACAGGATTCTAAAAACAGATATCCAGAGCACACATTCTAAAACACGGGAAGTATTCAAGTGAATATCAAAAGAGCTATCATGGTTTTAGAGAAAATGGGAACATTCAAATCAGTACGGTAGTTTCAGTGTTCAATGTAATGAATTTATCTTGATATGAATACAATCTTTAAAAAAAAATGAAAATAAGGGTACATCTGTTTCCATGCTCTAGAAAAGTTGCTTATTTTAGCAGGAAAATGCTTCATTTACTTACTTATTCAGAAACGAGCATTGTACTGTTCAATTATTGCTGTTTGATAGCTTATGGAAATATTTCCATTTTTTCCTATCAAGAGTGCAACTTCTACTTTAATAATGCTGTATTCTAAGTTCCATACAGCACCTCAACTTATGAACATTTTAACAGAAAATATATTCTCAACTATTAACTGATCCTGTGTATACTTTTTCAGTAAAAAAGATAGGAGGGCAAATGACTGATCCATGATCAGTCCAGGTGATTAAAGTGGAATGTTAAAGTCTGCTTTATAAATTATACAAAGAATACAGTTTTTATCATATGTATAAACTGTAAGTTCAATGGGATATGATTTTAAAATGAGTATAATTCCTAAGAATTATTCTTTGTAATTCCAATGATTCTGTGGGTTCCTGCCTTCTTGTTCCTGTGTGAAAGGAATATTTTAATAGTAATTTAAAAAAAACTGTAATACTAAGCAGTGTTTCTTTTTCCATGATTTTAACAACAGAACACCCAGGGTAATTTATGAAAAATGCACATTCAAATACACTTTTCTTAACAAAAGCCACAATATATGTCTTTGCATTTGGTAACAAGTTTGCAAGTATTTCAAAATAGGTTCCATTCCCAGGAAGCATGTAGAAGTGAACCTTAAGATTGTGCTTTGGTTAGAAACGGCTATTTTTTGCGTTAAAAAGTATAAATGCTGGCACTCCTGCCAGAATTTGGCTTTTGTCACACTAGAAATAGGGATACCAGGGGTCCTATTTGTCAATTTGTTCTGAAGCTAGGGCCCATATGTTATTATTACCTACATATGCTTAACGTAGATCAGGACATTGTCATTGAAGGCAAACAGGAAAATTCAAAGGATGATTTGAATTGTTTTTATGAATCCATTTAGGAGGGTTTTTTTCACACAGTCAGCTCAAATGAAATTGAATAATTCAGTAGTTTAAGAGAGTAATGTTGATCTAGTCTTGGTTTATGTCCAGAGCAGAAATAAGCAAGAATGGTATTATATTTTGACTTATTTAAAATAGATCTGTTTCATCTGAGGTCATTGAAATATTGTTTGAATGAATTATCATTAGAGACCCTGTTCAAAATTATGCAAGATTATGTCAGATCTCATGAAATTTGGAATGATTGTGATAGTATGAAAAAAGGCATTAGTACTAAATTATAAAGAAACCTGTCTTAGATACCATTTTGTGCATGGAAAATCTGAAATCTCATATGAGACAGGAGACCTGTTTGAAAAAGAATGGCTAATGACTAAAACATCTACTTCCACACCATGTTTCTTTGCTGTAGAAAAGTTTTTTCTCATTCACTCACACACACACACACACACACACACAAACCACACACATCAAAGCTCTAATAAAAGTATGTATTGTGCAGTTATTTACAACAATTGAATTAATGTTGGGCCTTAGAAGCAGTTTAGGAAATAAATCGAATAATCAGTGTATCCTGCTTCCCAGGTGTGTTGGCATATGTCTTGATCATTGATAAATTATTCTCATGGGAAAGCACATACTAAAACATCTTGGCAAATTATAGAATCATAGCTGATAATAAGGAAGATGGAGAGTAAGTAGCAAGAAGGTCAATTGATTGGGGCAATTTGCTTTACATTTTATAATTGAAATCAAGGCACAAGCTGCGTTCAAAAAGATCTGTGGCTGTGTTTTGCCCGCAGCTACTATCAGATGAATTAGGACTTTGGAAACTTTCAGAGGTCTGAGTTTATTTCTGGTACCTTCCAAAGTTCTGGAGAACATCCACAATCCTTGACCCTTGTCAAGCTATGTGGGGTTATTAGAGCCATAACCAGGGGTGGGATGCTACTGGTTCTGCCCGGCTCTATTGAATCGGTAGCTCTGAAGAGCAGCAGACACCAAACTGGTTCTGTGTTTGCTGCTGTTTGGCCCACCCGCCCGCCTGGGCTCTTACCTGTCCTTTATTTCCTGTTTTTTATATAATAATAAAACGTAGTAACCGAACTGGTAGTAACACCGGTTGAATCCCACCCCTGGCCCCCTAACTCAAAACAGAAGTGGAGTATCCTTGCTCTATTGTGCTTTGGAAGACTGCTTACACTTAGATTTAGTCTGAATGCTTAAAATTGAAACAGGAATTTAGACAGCCAACTCAAAATAATTTTTAAAATGTTTTCTAAAATATCACTGATGTGTGAGAGAGATACGTAAATTGAAACTCTATAACAGGGTCCTCAAACTTGGCAACTTTAAGACTTGTAGACTTCAACTTCCAGAAGCTGCCTGGAGAATTCTGGGAGTTGAAGTCCACAAGTCTTAAAGTTGCCAAGTTTGGAGACCTCTGCTCTATAACTATGCCACCTGCCTATCATCCTCTAGGAGCCATACTTAATTCTTGCAGCCAGGAGGGTTATTGCAAACATTATTGATGAGTAGACCTGAGGACAATGAAACTTTCAAATTCCACTCTTACATGGTATGAAATCTCTTCTCTTTGCCATTCTAATCTAGACAATGGAAGCATACTTAAAAGAATGGCTTTTGAAACAATCCGAAGTCTTAATTTCACTTAGGCTAACTAACCTCTCTCAGTCCTTTAATATTGTAAGAGAAGATCATCATTCAATACCTCCAGCAATAAATGGTAAAACAATTAGAAGAGCAATGAAATGCAAATACGCCCAATAAATTCCAAATACTTGGGAAAAAAAGATAGAAATATTGTACAGAGCAATAAGAATATGATGTTGCCTCTGGACTGTTTTCATCCTGTCATGTAACATTTTAAGGAGGCTCCATGGAATTCTTTCTAAACTAATACGTAGATGTAATTACAAAAATAAGTATTTACTATTCCACTTAATTACAATCTTCCTGAGCTTGGTCAGCTGTGCGAAAAAGCCTGTTTAATACAGGAACCACATGATAATGTATTACATAAATTTCCCCCTTTCCCTCATGCTGCTATATAAAAGGCATCTGTTTACTTCCCTTCTTGAAAATATAACATTTGTGGCACTACAAGTTGTCAGTACAAAAAAAGACGTGTGAACCATGAGAGTGAAAAGTGGGAATTGATAGGTTTGTCTTCTATAATGTAATTCAAAGATACTGCTTCATAAGTTATCACAAATGTACTGATGTAAACGACAACAGAATCATAATTAAAACACCCATTTTAGATGCATGTTATTTTGCTTCTTTTTTTTAAAAAAAACAACTATTTCTATTTTGAAAGGCAGATTTCTCAACCTATTTACCCATTTATGCACGATGTCATAAAGCTTTTTTTAAAAAATAATGTCTTTAAAATCTTCCCTCCCACCCATCCCGCCCCCTATTAAGTGCAAATGCCAACTGGGTCAAGAGGCAGAATCTCGGTGGCTGACACTGAGATTAAAGAGGGCTAATTCGACTGGTGGTAGAAGCCAACTTTTTGCTGACACTTCATAAATCTGAGGTTATTTCATTCTGCTCAAGAGGAGGACCAAAGAGCAGATGTCATCTCTAGCAATATTTGCTCTCAAAGCTCCGGAATGCACCTGTTCTAGAGAGTCTTCTCATTGACAAGGTGTCTCCTGTGCTTTCTGGTTTGGATGACCTGCTCCTCTGAAATGTATTTCGAAGGCTGGATGCATTGCGCTGCCTATCAAGTTTGTCACTGATGGAGTAGCTTTTCCGTGTGTGCACGTAGAGTAAGTTGGATTCATCTGCAGAATAACTATTGGCCCGCTCTATTTTAGGAAGCAGAATATTGTTAGACAAGGTCCTCGATGTATTGCTGTCTTGAAGTGACAAGGAAACTGCTTTTTTGTCTTTGGCTTCAGTGTCCTCGTTGTCAGAACTTGGGTGACTTAGTTCTGCTTCCCTCTCTGGATGGCAGCATCCTAGGTCATCCATCTTATCTCCATGGATCCCAGGAAAACTTGACCTTTCTGCAATGGTTTGAGGAGCACTGACACACCTTGTGTCAATGCAGTCGGTGATGCTAGTGTACTCTGCTGTTTTGACCGGTACTCCAAGGCTGCTGAAATAACTCCGGGATGGAGAGAACATAAAACTATGAGATTTTACAATAGGCGCCTCTTCTAAAATAAAGGGGCTTGTAGCCAGGTAGCGACTACTTTTAGAACGCTCTAAGGTATGATATAGGGGGGGATCCAATTCCCAGGGGTTTTGACTGTCTGTGATTTGGGAATAATCTGAAGAAAACACCCTTGTTTCCAGCGAAGAAGCCTCTTCACACTCAATACTTCTGCCTGAGATTCCGTCACCAGCGGTACCACTGACATAAGCACTACTCGAGAGAACGCTGGAAGTGATCTGAGCTTGAAGAGTAGGGTCTCCGGTCCCAAGGATGTTCATCGAACTATCCAGGGGTTCTATTCCTGACTGCAGCTCGTCCATGGCAGACACATAAATATCAATGCAAGAGGAAGGCCTCCGAGAATCTGGAGCAATAGACAAAGTGCTTACAGGCACTAATGAAACTTTTGGTTCTTTTGAGATTGAGTGAGAGCTAGTGGCACGATGAAGGTTCAGAGACCGTTCTTTCAAAATACTTTCAAATTTCTCAAGCCCACCCTTCTCCTTCATATTCATCGCATAGAAGGAGTGACTTCGCAGTCGAGGTGTTAATGTTGGAGAGGTGGGGGACATTGATTCTTCCCCCGTAGGATCAATACTCTCTTGAAGTTTGTATGCATTCCCTTCCTGGCTGTTGAAGCTACTTTGTCTCACAATGTAAGCTGTGTCAGTACAGTCAGAAGATGTTCGAGACCGTATCTTACTGGCCTCTCCTCTGTCCATGCCAGTAATTTTGTCCAGTGCGGTGGCCATTCTCCCAATCATATCTTCCAGCTGAGCAAGCCGTATATCTACAGTCTGAAGCGAGGCCTTCATGCAATGCTCTCGTTCATTCACTTCCTCTAATCGCATTGCCATATTCTCTACTCTGCAGGAAGAAAAGACGGGGAAAAAATGTTTTGATAACATCCAGTAGGGCAAGCAGATTAGCTTGGTTATTTCTAAACCAATTTACTTAATCAAGAAAATAGATAATAATGTAAATAGTATGCCATTAGTATACTGATACGCACACTAAGAAAATTAATCTTCTTTTTTAAAATAAACAATTAAAAAGAGGCTACTAGGTAACTGGAATGATAAATCCATTTACTTCTTGCCTCCTCAATGATTTTATCAATCATTTTATCAATACATATTTAAACAAGAATTTGCATTTTGCTTCTGATTAAAGTTGTGAGATGCATCGATGTCCTTTTTAAAAAATAAACAATAAACATTTACATAACTTAAAACTTAGACTTTTAGACCTGTTCTAATACCATTATTTATAGATTTCAAATTTGTAAACGTAAGATTTACAGATCTACTGTATGTTATGCAGGCTCACATATACAAAGATAAAAATATTGATTTCTGGGATAGAAATATTTCCATTTTATGGGTTTTATGTGGCAAACTCCTTAGTAAGTACCAAATCTATAGAAAGTAGTAATTGGTTTATCAAACCTAAAATTGCACAGCTATACAGATTTTAAAAGCTGCCAGGAAGTTAGAAAAGGGCCTAATTCTTGTCAAATGAATATGATGGCAATAAGTAATCCCTGGAGAAATAAATTTAGAGTGTCATGATATCCTTAACCCTCAGTTATATTACAAGTATATTGCAAAGTAATTATTTTACATACAATTAATGTATGCTTTATCCACTTTTCTACAAAATTTTCTCCAGGTTTATACCAATAGGTTTACACTCTTGCCTATCTGTTTAAGTGGAAACTAAGAGACTATGAAATAAGACCTCAATTTGCATTATGACTTCTAAGACCCATTTATTAAAGCAGACTTCACACAACCAATGTTCTACCCCAAAAATGACTCTGAGATTCAGGGATGATTTCCAATTCACCAAGGAGAGGATAAAGAATAAAAAAGTGGAATATGCATAGGAAATACCAGAGTTGAATAAGACCAAAGGCCCAATCAGATACTTCCTTGATGTATAGCTTGTAGCACTAATGTAACAAATTTGGGGGTTGCCGTGATCTTTTTTCCCCTGAAGAATTCTGCCATGCATATGGGGAGGAGATTTGGGTGTCACTTGCACTGGAGTCAGAAACAGCCCTTTGGTCCCATGTATTTCACGCCTTGTCCTCACCTCCCCCAATTTGATAATAGAATAAAGACTTCATATATAGCAACTAAATCTATATATTTGTATTCTAGTTATTTTTTATATTCTACTGATGATTGCGGTCTCTGTTTTAGTCAGATTTAACCAAGTAATCTAAACCAAGGATTTTTACTTGGAAATATGCTTAGTTTTTGTGGGTTTTTCTTTTTTGTATAAATACCACTTTTATGACATTTCCAAAATAGGTTTACTATATTTTGATTACTATTAATTTGCAGCCAATAAAATATTATGGAACTTTTAAAAATCTTTTTGTTTTAAAAAACAACAAAGTGAAAATATTTATGATTACAATTTTTAAAACATATATCTACAAAGCCAAACAAAATGTTGTGCACCTTTCAGAAGTTACACGGATTCTCTCATCATTGGAAGAATTAAATCTATCGTCTTTCTCTCTGAAATATTCCTCTATGCACTGTTCTTCAAAATCATGAACCTTCTTCAGTTCATCATCTGTTATAAAAAGTTCTATAGGGGACATAGAAGGCAATAAATAACAATCAATAATTAATTATCTGTAAGTATAGAGCACTGCCTATTTTATATTTACAACTGAAATCCCCTCTATATGTAACTTAATATGTAGATTGTTTTGATGAGTCTCAGATTTGTAGCTCTACTTCTGCTTTCCCAAATTTATGCCCTAACTCCTACCTGCCAGATATTTTTCGATTTATGTCAGACTTATTCAGATACTCCATTATTTTTTTCTTCTTTTCACCCTCTAAAACAGTGGTTCCCAAACTTTTTCAGTCCACTGCCCCCTTGGTGCTAAAAACTCATCCTCGGTGCCCCCCCACCCAGGGGTGGGATTCAAATTTCTGTGGGCATGACCTCATTTGAGGGCGTGGTGGTCACGTGATTGGGTGGGCATGGCTTGCTGGTCATGTGACTGGCTGGTGTGGCTTGCTGGCTGGGCATGGCTTGCTGGTCACATGACCGGGTAGGTAGTCATGTGACTGGATGGGCGTGGCCAGATAACTGGCAAACCAAATACAAGTGGTCCTCACTTAAAGTTGTTTAGCAAGTTCTAATTTATGACTGGCCTCCCCAGAGCTACTTGACCTGCTTTGGGAGTTTTGACAGCCATGCACACACACACACACACACACGCACACGCACACACACACTACCTTCTAACCCTGCTGGAGCAGGTCATTGCACTAGAATCGGCAAAGCATCTCTGATTAGATTCTAGTAGTGAATAAAATCTAATCAGAAATGCTTTGCTGATTCGTGTTGATTTGTTTTATTTTTATTTCTTTATTTTATGTTGCTGAATTGCATTGACATGTGTGTCCCTTCTTGTGCCCAGAAGCTTTTGTGATCCTTTGCAGCAAAAATTACAGATCTCTGGCTTTGCTCTACTTTTCAAACGTGCCACCACTGCCGCATTCTAGGTGCCAGCCCCGCAGGTCTACCCCATTGAGCCCGCTGCACCAGAGGGACCTGCCCAAGCAAGTCCGAGCAGAGCGGTGCAGCAAGTCAATGGGGTGAGCCTGAGAGAGGGAAATAGAGAGAGAGAAAAGAAAGAGAGAGAGAAAGATAGAAGGAAGAAAAGAAAGAGAAAAGGGAAAGAGATAAAGGGACAGACAAAGAAAGGGGGGGATGGAAGGAAGGGACGGAAAGAAAAAGAAATAAAGAAGGAGGGAGGGAGGCAGGAGAAAGATAATGAGATATCTGTTCTAATCCAATCACTTGCTCCAGCAGGGTTAGAAGGGTGTGTGTATGTGTGTGTGTGTGTGTGTGTGTGTGTGTGTGTGTTCTCCTTGTAATTTACCAGTACATTTTGGTTTTGCCTTCTTCAGAATTGGCAATGTAATACATTGGAGAAAAGTAATTTTTAGGGTGGAGATCTGGTCCAATGGATCCTGTTTAAAGCCTCAACAAAATGTGAGAGCTTCCTGATAGTCTTGACCATGTTTTGTCCACAAAACGTTTAATAGAAACTAAAGATGTTTCAGTATGGAAAAGGGCCTCAGTCTAAACTAGGTCTCATTTCAATCGGATGCATCAGGTTTCTCTCTCTCTCTCTCTCTCTCCCTCCCAGACTGGCTTTGCTTTACTTGCCTGATGTGCCTGCGGCGCTTTGAACATGGATGGATGGATAGATAGATAGATAGAGATGTAGGTAGGTAGGTAGGTAGATAGGTATATTGGTATGTAGGTAGGCAGGCAGGCAGGCAGATCTTTTGGATGAATGTATGGATAGATAGGTAGGCAGGCAGGCAGACATTTTGAATGGATGTATGGATAGGTAGGTAGATAGGTAGGTAGATAGACAGATTGGTAGATAAGTAGGTAGGTAGATAGACAGATTGGTAGATAAGTAGGTAGGTAGATAGATAGACAGACAGATAGGCAGGTAGGTAGAAAGATATATTGGTAGATAGGTAGGTAGGCAGGTAAGCAGGCAGGAAGACAGACAGACAAAGACCTTTTGGATGGATGAATAGGTAGGTAGATAGATAGATAGATCAATATTGGTAGGTAGATAGGTAGGTAGATAGCCAGAAAGACAGGCAGGGAGGCAGACAGACAGACAGACCTTTTGGATGGATGGACAGACAGACAGACAGACTGCAACAGCGGTGGCACTTTAGGAAAGTAGAGCAAAGCCAGAGTGACTTTCCCAATGTGCTGCCACTGCTGCGTTCGATGCCTTTGAGCCCCTTGCACCGCTCCAGTGCAACAGTCAATGGGATGAGCCTGCAATGCCGGTGCTTCGAATGCCCCCCCGCCACCTCTTAGCACCCCCCCTTCAGCAGCTGCTTTCGAGTAGAGCCCGTCCCACCTCCCATAATCCCTGACATTGCTTCGCACCAACTTCTAGGCCTTGGCCCACCAAGCAAAACCTCCCAACACTCGACTCCACCAAGAATGCTCAACATGCCAAAAGGCTCGCCTACGTAATTCCTGTGACACAACTATGAGACGGTGCATACACCTTTACATTGCTTCCTTGGGAATACCTTCTTCTCAGCTGGCTTGACCCGGCCCATGTGGGGACCTGTTGCGGCTCAGTGCAGGCAGCGCTTCCAGGATGGGAAGGGTGAATCCCGTCTGCAGTGCTGCACTGACCCCCTGTGCCTGCAAAAACCTCCAGTCGCCGTGTTTTTTTCAGTGCAGCCGGACTCCTCCAGCGCCCCCCTGCCACCTCTTAGTGCCCCCTGCCTCTTAGCACCCCCTAAGGCATCCCACCCACCCCAGGCGGTACCACCCACTTTGGGAACCACTGCTCCAAAAATTCAGACAGGGGACTGAAAGAAATAGAAGAATGTCTATACTGTCCCATCACTAAGGACATTGGGAATGGTACATCTCTGTAGGTACTGGCAGGACTTCAGATGGATTGGACAAGCGAAGTGACTGCAAGTGGTGTTACTGGTATTCATTGCTGTTCATATCTTTGTAGACCCCAATTATACAATGTTTTTCCATTATAAGAATTATAAGAAAATTAGATCTATATGTTTGGATTAGTTTAATTTTTTCCACCTTCAACTATTCTGTGAGATAAGATGGGATGATAGACTGGCCTAAGGTCACCCAGTATTAGCCCTATAGGGTAGACCAGAGTAAGAAACCAATGTCATGTAAGTTAGAATGACCTTTATTGTAACAGCTATACTAACAAAATCTTGCAAGTCTGAATGTGCTGCCCCTCGTGCAAATTAGGGAGGAGTTTGCCTGAGACATTTTGCTCAAGTTAGTTTATTGGTCTAGGCTCAAGGCCCACTTATCTGACTGAAGTCTTGGTACCAGCTCTGCAGTGGTGGGATTCAAATTCTTTTACTACTGGTTCTGTGGGTGTGGCTTGGTGGGCGTGGCAGGGAAGGATACTGTAAAATCTCCAGTCAGAAATGGTATTTGCCGGTTTTCCAAACTACTCAAATTTTCTGCTACCGGTTCTCCAGAACTGGTCAGAACCTGCTGAATACCACCTCTGCAGCTCTGTCTTTTGTCTAGACCCACAAAACTTCCACAGCTGAGGGTGGACCTAACTTGGATTTACCTATATCTAGCCCAGTTCCTCAACCACTGTACCAGTGTTGGCATTAATGTGATGAAACAATTATGTACAATGAAGTAAAAAATAGTAAAGAAAAGAAATAAACAGATAAAACAGATAAAGATACAATGTCTGAGAATTTTTTAAAACAACATTTTCATGAAATTAGGAAACATGTGCGAAAATAGAAATGATTTGACAAAAGACACAAAACAAAAACAAAACAAACCTGAAGGTAGGCCAAACTAGGAAAATAAGAAATTTCAAAGTTTGAGCACGAGCCTAAAGAAAATCACTGCTTTTATAATACCTAGAGACCAGTTAGATGCTCATGCCAAGGAAATATTATGAATTCATTCTATGTGTAGCTGCCTTGAAATTTTTTTGGAAATTGTATTTGGACTGGGAATTGCAGACTTTAGCCAACTATACACATGCTTTATATACATAAGACATGGGCTTTAGTCCCAGTTTTCTTCAGTGAAAAACATCACAAAGCTGAGAATAGATGAGTGAGGTCTTGATACATATCTTGTCTATCAAATTACGAAATTAAATATAATCAAAAGTGATGAAATCTTTCGAGGTAAAACTGAAGCGAGGCAATCTCTATTTGAGATTTGTACAGTAATATTAAATAAGCTGAAACGACTGTTTTAAGAAATAACCGATGAAAAGGAAATCACATGCTGTGAAAAATGATAGCACTGCATACATATAACAACAGAAACGTTAAAATATGGATATAATTTTCTTATCAAGTAGCTATGCAGTGTAAATGTGTATGTGCGAATATGTATTGTGCTTGCTTCGGCAGCACAAGTACTAAAACTGTATGTGTGAAAAGAGCTTCTGTGCCTCCTATTTGAGATGTTTTTATTCTCATGTACATAAGGAAATGTAAAGTAAATGCAAAAATGATTTAAGAATTAATTTGTTAAGGATGTTTGAAAAAGGGACAGCATCTCATTGAGAGGACATAAGGAGGGAATGAGCAAAATTGGCTTAGTGCAGTGTAGTTTTATATTGGTCAAGAGGTGTACAGAACATTAAGAAAACTGGAAAGGTGAGAAGTTTATTGTATATTTGTTCATATAGAAAGCTTATGATAAACTAAATAGGCCTAATCCAAGACAAAACAAGTATACATGATGCTCCTTACATTGTTTATATATTTATGGATAAATACATATGGAAAGATGGTAGTGACATTAGAAATGTATTGGCTGGGGTCATGAGTGTTTGTGTACTTTCACAAAGGTAAAGTTATATTGTTAGTCAAGAATCCAAACAATTTGGTCACATAGAGAGAATGAATAAATTGCAAAACAGGTAACGTGTGGTGATATGTAAGAATATAGATTTAAAAATAGAAAAGAATGGAATTGATATTTTTCCCTAAGGATTTTTGTTAAATTAGATATAGATTTAATTGGAATAGATATGGAAATGGGAA